CATTGGAAGAAATGAAAGAGCCAGGGCGGGAGGAGGAAGGGTGAGGATGATCTTCCTGTTACAAATATGTTCTCCCACCATGAGGGTAAGAAGACACAGGGAGCTGAGAATAATACTAGAGACACAGCCACACTGATGCATATCACAAAACCTGAAATTGAAGGAAATTGAAGCCTTTCTTTGTGAGACATTTCATCATTTTCTCAGTAATTGCATCAGTTTTGTAATTTCTTCCATCACTGACTCCCCAGTAGCCCTGGCATCTTCTCGTCTGTGATGTGGACGTGGCGGGTGATGGTGTTTGCCTCCAGGAAATTAAAGACCCCTCTCAATAACTGCATTAGTCATTGGCACTTGCCGCTGTGATTGATCTTGTAACCACCATCAGATCTGGGCATGGAAAGGATATGAAAATTCACAAGCGGGAAAACAACCTTATCTTCCCCTGATGCAGCCCTCTCTTTACAAGAAATATCTGCAAAGTCTTTTTTGCACTTCTAATTTGCTCGTCAAAGGACGTGTTTTTGACAGGCTGGTATATGTCCATGGGAGACTGGAAACTGTTTGGGATCATAGGAAATTGTGAATTCTGCCTGGGTTTTCCAGAGTTGCTCTACTGAGTTGCCCTTAACTTAAAAGAGCAAAAAATGTTTTAGAATTGTGTTTCAACATTTTGGGACACCCAGAAGGCAAGAAGCCATAACACTGAAAAAACACCCTGATCTCGCCCTGTCTCTGTGGAAGGTACCAGAAGAAAAGTATACTCTGATTTTATTATTGCTTTATATCTTGGGCACTCCCTGAGAAGATGGCAGTGGGGGGCCAGCTGGGTAAATTTTTCCATAAGCATAGTGCTTCAAACTGAGCCACTCAACGGAGTCTATCCTAGAGTGAAAAAGACTAAAGACAAGAATCCCAATGAATGCACACTGTTTTCTGGGTTTTCCAACCCAATGGCCCTAAGATCTCTGAAACTTGCCAAATTGCATCTGTTGTTTGCTTAAGAATATGGTAATCAAATTCTAAATGTACATACATGCTCTTTGATTCATTCCAGTAAGAGGTATTTATCTTACAGGCATACTTCATATATAAGAATAGTGTGTGTGAAGCTATTCACTACATTGCTATTTGTGTTTGAAAAAAAAATGCCTGTAAATAACCTGGAAAGGCTTCAATAGAAGACAAATTAAGTAAATTATGGTTCATCCACACAATGGAAAGCCATGTAGCAGATAAAAAGAACAAGGTAGCACTTCCATATTAAAAATGGAAAAATCTCCAGTACATAGTAACTAAATAAATGGGCGATGCGCAGCAGGGTAGTGTTCCCATTTGGGTAAAGAAAAGAACAGAAACACATGTACGTGTGTAAAGTACAGGATATCTATGGAAGGATAGGCAAGAAACAGTGCCTCTGTGATGGAGAACTGGAGGAAAGGGATTGAGGAGGGAGGGAGGCCACAATTCTGTTAATTGATTATCACAAGGTTTAACACATAAGAATAGTAACTAGTACACATAGTGCTTACTATGTGCCCAGCATGTTCTAAGCACATTACATACTTAAACTAATGCAAAGTGCTCCTTTTAAACTATAAGATATTCAGATACCTGTCTTATTTCACTAAATTATCAACTACTTGAGAGCATAAACTTGACTTAAGCATTTTTTATATCCTACACAAACACTGGTACGATATATATCACATAATAATGTTCTCAAGAAATATATGCTTCATTCATTCACTCATTCAATATCAAATAGGAGAGAAACTAATTATCTTTACCATTTAGAGCTGACTCAAGAGTTTAATCACCTTTATACAAAATTATCTTTTCATAATCAGTTTGCTATGCCATGAAGTCAAGCCGTAATCCAAAAATAAATGGCTTTGAAAATGTGCTATTACACATACATACAATTGTGGTTGTACTGGACACACTGGGGCAGTCAAACAAATTACTGAGGAAAAGTCCAGTTTTCTTCTTACTATTCATTCAAAGAGAAACACTATTATCAAAGCACAGTCCCCTCCCTTTTTAAACTTTGAGTTCAGGAGAATATTTAAGAATGAAAAGTCTACTAAGTTAGACGGGATCAAGTAAATAAAGTGCTTAGCACAAGCCTGACCCATCAGAAACCCCTATTCAAGTGACACTATTTCTCATTTCTTATGTGGAGGCTTCAAACATCATGGGAGAGGAAAGTAAACAAGAGCGAGCGCTCAGTCTTGTCAACAATTGGGAAATATGTCTGCGACAAAAGCAGAGCCGATCATGGGAGTGGGAGTGTTTTTCCCCTTTACAAGTCATTAAAAGTCATCAGTGCTGTAAATCAGACAGACTGGGGAAAAAAAGAGGAAAAAATTAAAACCTTGATTCTTAGATTCAAAAATTCACTTATTCAATCTGGCATTTATCTGAGTGCCCACTTGGGCCAGGCAGGCATTATGACAGGCAACTGTAGTCCTAATGCTCATTTTATTAGTTTAATGTGCTGTCTCTTTTGCATTTACTTTCTATCTTTGAAATAAAATTTGCAGATATGGTAACAAATCCCATTTTACTGAAGTAGTAAAATGGTGGTAGAAAAATTCTCTAAATGTCTGGCCCTGACTTCTGGATTTGACAAAACAGCAGAACTTCAAATAATATTAAGGGAACCAATACAGGGTTGTATTTGTTTAAAAAAAAAAAAAAAAAAGTTTTCATCTATTTTATGGACTGAATTGTGTTCCCCCAAAATTCATTTATTGAAGTCCCAACTCCCAGTACCTCAGAATGTAACCTTATTTGGAGATAAGGTCTTTAAAGAGATGAAGTTAAAGGAGGCTTTTAGGGTGGGGCCCTAATCCAATATGACTGATGTCCTTATAAGAAGAAAGGACTTTGTGAGGAAAAAGTGGCCATCTGCAAAGCAAGGAGAGAGGCCTCAAAAGAAACCAAATATGCACACACCTTGATCTTGGACTTCTAGCCTCCAGAACCATGAGAGAGATTGTTTAAGGCACCCAGTCTGTGGTATTTTGTTATGGCAGCCCAACAAACCAATACGATCTACTATGATACTATTTAATAAAAGGAAGCACATTTGGGGGGACTTCCCTGGTGGTGAAGTGGTTAAGAATCTGCCTGCCAGTGCAGGGAACACAGGTTCGAGCCCTGGTCCAGGAAGATCCCACATGCCGCGGGGCAACTAAGCCTGCGCGCCACAACTACTGAGCCTGTGCTCTAGAGCCCGTGAGCAACAACTACTGAGCCCATGTGCCACAACTACTGAAGCCCACACACCTAGAGCCCATGCTCTGCAACAAGAGAAGCCACCACAATGAGAAGCACATGCACTGCGATGAAGAGTAGCCCCTGCTCGCTGCAACTAGAGAAAGCCCTCATGCAGCAATGAAGACCCAACAAAGCCAAAAATAAATAGTTTTTTTTTAAAAAAAAGCGACTTCCCTGGTGGTGCAGAGGTTAAGAATCTGCCTGCCAATGCAGGGGACACAAGTTCGAGCCCTGGTCTGGGAAGATCCCACATGCCACAGAGCAACTAAGCCCGTGAGCCACAACTACTGAGCCCGCAAGCCACAACTACTGAAGCCCACGTGCCTAGAGCCCGTGCTCCACAACAAGAGAGGCCACCGCAATGAGAAGCCTGTGCACCACAACAAAGAGTAGCCACCGCTCACTGCAACTAAAGAAAGCCCGTGCACAGCAACAAAGACCCAACACAGCCAAAAATAAATGAATAATTTTTTTTTAACAAAAGCACATTTTAAACCACAAAGGTAGGAAGGACATAATTTCTGAATAATTTTGCTTTTTAAAGAAACTTCCTGGGACTTCCCTGATGGCGCAGTGGTTGAGAATCCGCCTGCCAGTGCAGGGGACACGAGTTCGAGCCCTGGTCTGGGAAGATCCCACATGCCGTGGAGCAACTAAGCCCGTACGCCACAACTACTGACGCCTGCACGCCTAGAGCCCGTGCTCTGCAACAAAAGAAGCCACCGCAATGAGAAGCCCATGCACCACAACAAAGAGTAGCCCACGCTCGCCGCAACTAGAGAAAGCCCACGCACAGCAGCGAAGACCCAATGCAGCCAATAAATAAATAAATAAATAGATTTATTTTTTTAAAAAAAAACTTCCTATACTTTTATTTTTTTCATTTTGCTATAGACCAGTGAAAACTCTGTTTTGACCAAGGAACCCCTGCTCTAAAATCATCTTTCTTCTTAATTTTTCATTCACTTGTTTCCAAACAAAAAATAACCATAGTCTACACATGACAAACCTAGTAATTCCAACCTAAAAAGGATGTGTTACCTAACAGGCCCTTCTTCATAGTTAAAACATAGTTTATAAGTTTATCACCTGCTATATAATAAAAGAAATCTTGCAGAAACATTTTCTCAAATGAATAATAACCTTTTAAATTTATAATTATTAAGATTGAAGTAGAAATACTTATTCAAATTATTTTCAAAATACAGTTGAATTATAAATTCATTATGAAGTTTGGGAAAATTATTTATTTCATTCAATGGAGTTTAGACAACTAATTTCACATTTCATTTTAAATCCAGAATCAGAAAACATTTCTTGTACATCTAGCACTCATAAAGATTGTGGTATATCAATGAAATATTTAAATATAGAGATCGATTTTTAATGGATTTCTATAAATAACATTAACAGGAAAACACACATAATACAATCTACTCTGGATCTAAGAGCTGTAATTTACTCAAATATTGAAAGAAACTAGTCTGAAAATTTTCTTGTTTAGAAAATATATTGAGAGAACAGGATCAAGGATGGAGGAATTAATTGGTACTCAGCAATTCACAAACATGACATTTTTAAGATTTGAACAAAGGCTGTATGTTGGCAGCACAGAGAATGATCTCTCTCTCTCTCTCTCTCTATCTCTCTTTCTCTCTCTCCCTCCCTCCCTCTCCCTCTCCCTCCCCCTCTCCCCTCTGTGGAGCAGGGACATTTCATATTTCATAGTTTCTGAATTTCCTCAGGAGTTCTGAAGGAGCATCCCCAGACCAGCGGAAACGAAGGTGCCAACAGTTCACATCTGAAAAACCTGTAGAAGAGAGAAGAGAATATTTTAAAATCAGAGGTAGGAAAAGTCAAGCTTATTTATAATAGTAAAAAAGCTTGTTGATTAGATTTCATTGCAATAAGTGAAATGTAAGGGTAAGTCTTTGGTGTGAATTAATATCTTACATAAATGGATAAGCAGACTATTGAATCCTTATGAACAGGAATTGGTTTATATGGATGAGAGGGCCTTACGTGTTTAAATGCTTATTAATAAAAAGATATTTATAGATACTTCCAGTGGTGGGAATTTTGACAATTCATCTGCAAGCAAACTGGAAACTACTTTCAAACAGCTGTCAAAAGTAGAAGGTCAATGGAAAGGATCCCTGGAAATACAGATAATTTATTCCACAGTAGTAAGATTTTTTTTTTAATTCTAATAAACAACTTTGTTGAAAACTAGAGAAAAGGTCATTTTCATTCTCTACTGGAGGAAGTGTAAACTGGCAAAACTCTTCTAGCAGGCAATTTGGCAATATTTATCAAACTCATTAAAATGTATAAACCTTTAAGCCAATAATTCTACTTCTAGAAATTTATCCTAATGAAATAATCATGATGTGCTCAAGGGCTTAACTCTAAGGATGTTTATTATGATACCATTTGTAAATGTTTAAAAAATAAAGAAACAGTCTAAATCTTCAGTAATAGAAAATTGGTTAAAAGGCTTTGATATAGTCATTAACAATGTTTTAATATTTATCATCATAGAACAATGTTCATAACATATTGCTAAGTTACTGGTAGTTATGAAACAGTTTAGACAGCATGATCTCATTCATAAATTCATATTTACATGGGTATTTATATAAAAACTTTTTAAGTCTCTGAGTAATTACCCCTAAATCTTAACAGTAACTATTCCTGAAGAGTTGGAATAGATATGATTTTCATTTTTTATACTCTTTTTTTGTTTATCTGTATTTTCTTATTTTTCTGCAATGAACAAGTATGCCTTGTATCATTTTTTACTTTTATAATATTGCTAATGAAAAAGCAGGTTACAGAATAATATATTAAATATGCCTCCATTGATATTTAAAATATTATCTAAATATGTAGTAGGAAAAATATACACAGAATAGTTGACAGTGATTATCCCAGGAAAATAGGATCTGCACTTTCTTTAGAACTATCAGAGAAAAAAATCTAAAGAATTGCCATTTGGGGAAAAAGCAAAAAGGAAATTGTTTCTGACAACCTGTAATTGAAACACACACACAAAATATGTACAGTAATATCCTTTTCATTTTAGGTATACTAACATATCTTAAAATATACCAAAATAACAATAATACATATTTCCCTAAGTGGTAAGACTACAAGTTATTGTATTTTCTTCCTTTTGCTTGACCATATTTTCTCACATTTCTACACTAAATACATGTTATTTCTGTAGTTTGAAAAGATGTTTTCGAGTTTGGGTACCCCTAGAAGTAGACCCCAGACAAGAATTTGAATTCAAGTGGCTAACTTGGGGAGTTGATCCCATGAGACCCTGGTGGGGAAAGGAACCAAGTCTGTAAAGACCCCTGAGAGTTATTCTACTTGAGGGGTGAAGGTGCTGGGGAATTTAGCCTCCCACTCCCATTCATTATCATCTGATGGCTACACCCACAGCATGTTTACTCCCTGGTACTTAACTGCCCGCTCACTGCTGCCAAGCCGGACCCAGTGCCAGAGAAAGCACTCTGGTGGGAGCCGTAGGGTTGGCAATGCCCAGAGGATATGTTAGCACATGAACAGCATCTGCTACATTTGTTTTTTTTTTACTCCAGGATGTTTGATTCTAGAATTGTATTCATCAGAAGGCACATTTATTGCATATTTAAATGAAAAGAAAGTAAAAGTAAGATTGTTTCGCACATGGGTTTTCAGATGCCGTGCTCCTTATTTTCCTGGTTGCAATGAAGAATCAGAAAATCATGGGGAGTATTTAATAGAAGCTCATCACAGAAGAGGCATCAAAAGGCAAACTTCAAAGTAAATACCAAGCACTGCTTGAGGAAATTAACAAAAATGCTGAAAAGTTATGTGGGAAGCCACTCAGGGCTTGGTAAAGCTGACATAAATAATATTTCTTAAATGCTGATGTTATAAAAATTTACACTGCAGTCAAATGAAATTATAAATAATCAGGCAACTGTGCTTTGGCATATGAAACCCCAACTTTAAGGCACTACTCAGAACAGCCAATAATCTCTTAAACGACATTAAGAAAATACTGGTAAATGCAGCTTTCAGCAAAATTGCGTAATTCTTATTCTCCAACAACAGCTTTCAAAACAGTGATTCTCCCTCCTCTCACCCCCTCTGCTTCATTCCTCAACCACAGTAAGAGAATACGTTTCACAATGTGAGGGTATCAAAACTGGCATCACAATCTGTTCTGAGTAAATTACAATATATCTACACTGTGGAATATTTATCAGCTGTTCATTCTAATGAGTTCATTCTAAATATAAGGGTCTAAGGAGGAGTCCCATAGTAATAAAAGCTAACATTAAAAAAGCAATGGCCGGGCTTCCCTGGTGGCACAGTGGTTGAGAGTCCGCCTGCTGATGCAGGGGACACAGGTTCGTGCCCCGGTCCGGGAAGATCCCACATGCCGCGGAGAGGCTGGGCCCGTGAGCCATGGCCGCTGAGCCTGCACGTCTGGAGCCTGTGCTCTACAACGGGAGAGGCCACAACAGTGTAAGGCCTGCATACCGCAAAAAAAAAAAAAAAGCAATGGCCATGTACGAGGTCTAAATATTTTACATATGTTATTTACTTATCAAAAAGACCTTACCAAAAAAAAAAAAAAAAAGGCTTCCCTGGGGGCGCAGTGGTTAAGAATCCGCCTGCCAATGCAGGGCACACGGGTTCGATCCCTGGTCCAGGAAGACCCCACATGCCGCCAAGCAACTAATCCCGTGCACCACAATTACTGAGCCTGTGCTCTAGAGCCCGTGAGCCACAACTACTGAAGCCAGCATGCCTAGAGGCCGTGCTCTGCAACAAGAGAAGCCACCACAATGAGAAGCCCGCGCACCGCAACCAGAGAAAGCCCACGCGCAGCAACAAAGATCCAGCCCAGCCAAAAAAAAAAAAAAAAAAGACTTTACAAGGTAGAGGTAGACACAAACATTTTAACTAATATATAGAGATAAGAAAATGCAAATACAGAGGTTATCTCACTTGCCCAAGGTCACACAACTCATCAGTGGGAAAAGCTAGGCTCTGGTTCCAGAGTCTGTGCTCTTAGCTACTGTATAACAGAGAGGAATGAGCACAGTATAACCCCAATCTTTATTTGTAAAGCCCTCACAAACGAACATATGCTTATACATGCCTTTGTTAGCATAGACAAACAAAGGCTATGGAAGGAGACACACCTGGGCATCTGCATTGGTTACTTCAGGAAGTAGAAGCAGAGAAGGATGAGACTAGGGTAGACACTAAATTGTTGTCTATGTGATTCTTTGAATTTTTAATGATAAGCTCATATTACTTTGGGGTTTTTGAATATATAAATAACTTTTTTTGAAAAGAAAGAGAAAATTTTATAGAATCTTATGAAAGGGATTTAAGTGGGGCCTCAGTGTGAGAATCTGATGTGATCAACCGCCTCAACTCTGGTGAACTCAGAATAGGTCTGAATCTGAAACATAAAGTCACAGGGAGGCCCCAAGCGTTCCGGAAGCTCAGATCTGAACATTCCAAGGCTAAATGGAGAAACATTCACGTGTTTGCCTGTGAATGCCTGTGGGTGGGTGTTTGTATGTGTATGTTTGCCTATGTTTTTAGGACATTCAAGCTTCTGCTTTGATTGGTTTGTTATATTATAACCACTGCCAGTTATGCAGCTGATGCAGTCAACTGCAGGCTCTGTGAAAGGATCTCTTGGGTAACCAGCAGAGGCCCCTGAATTGAAGCTCTAAGAATCTTTCTTCCCAACAAGTAGTGAGCATGTAAAAGTTCTCCCCAGAGAGAGTTTTGAAGTGACTATCTCTAGAAAGACTATAGTTCACCACAAACTATCGAATTACCTTCTTTTTTGTAAGAAGTGTTCGAGAACATTCAGGAACCTTTTACTTAAAGGCTAAATTCTAGTGGGGTGTTGTATCACAACCATGAGAATCAAGAATTTGGAGGACAGTTAACGTGTGTATACATAACACACATGTACAAGATACATACAGTGGGATGGGCAGATAGACAAAGAAATGATAACAATAGCTAACAATTATCCAGGGCCTGCTGTAGGCAAATCACTGTGCTAAGCATTTTGCATGGATCGTCTCATTTAATCCTCATGGTAACATTATGAGAAGGTACCATTCTGATCTCTATTTTGTAGATGAGAAAACTGAAATGTAGAGAAGTTAAGTAACTTTTACCAAGTAATACAGATAATAAATGGTAGAGCTAGTATGTGAACCCAGGTAGTACAGCTGGGGAGCCGAGAGTTTAACCTCTGTAATACCCTGCTTCAGTGGATATATACATGGGTCAGATGTCTATAAATCTACTTACAGGTAAGGTATCTTCTCAGGATAGTGCAATGCCTTTGAATGCAGACTCTGCAACCAAACTGCCTTAGTTCAGACCCCTTCCCTGCCACATACAAGCTGGATAACCTTGAGAAAATTATTCAACCTCTCTAGGCTTCAGTTTTCTCATCTATACAAATGAGAATAATATTGGTACCAACCTGGGCTTCCCTGCTGGTGCAGTGGTTGGGAGTCCGCCTGCCAATGCAGGGGACATGGGTTTGATCCCTGGCCCGGGAAGATCCCACATGCCACAGAGCAACTCGGCCTGTGCGCTATGGCTACTGAGCCTGCGCTCTAGAACCTGCGTGCCACAACTGCTGAGGCCCGCACGCCTGGAGCCTGTGCTCCACAACAAGAGAGGCCACTGCAATGAGGGGCCCACTCACCACAACGAAGAGTGGCCGCCACTGGCCGCAACTGGAGAGGGCCTGCGCACAGCAACGAAGACCCAATGCAGCCAAAAATAAAAATAAATAAATAAATTTATAATATTGGTACCAACCTCACAAACTTGTAATGAGGATTAAATAAATTAATATATGTAAAATTAATATTAAACAAGATAATAGATGTAAAGTAATATATGTAAAGAACTACACATAGTAAATTCCCAACACATGTTAGCTAGTACTGTTTCAGTAAAGCAGATGACGATCCCAGAAATGTCTCAAGTTTTCCCTTGCAAGGAATGTATTAAGGAATATATCTTCTAGTTTCTGTGTCAATGCTAGGTAAGTATCTTTTAAGGTGCTAAACCAACCCTTATATTTGGCACTACTATGTAGCTGGAAAGGTTGAGAATAAATACAATATAAAACGAGCCTTTTAATTTCACACCTTCTCTGTTCTGCAAAGCTACATGACATGACTTACCTGGAGAATCTGGATTTTGTGAGGAGAATGACTTCTCCATGGATTTGGATTCTTTTTGCTCCATTTTCTCTGTGGTTGGACTGAACTCCTCATTCTTTATCTCTTTTTGCTCATTCCGTTCCTCATTTTCAATTTTATCGGTATGAGTCTGGTCAGATTCTTCCAACATCAGATCTTTTTTACTTCTGGCAGCCCAGTGCATTGACTACGTTAATTGAAAGCAGATGTATAACATAAAATCAATATTATATAGTTTCTATATTTAAAATTCAATATGTGGTAACACCTAACCTACTATTATAGTGCTGATTAACAAAATGTTAGACTTGACTATTAGCCAGATATTAATCAATTAATTCAGATGTTAATCAATTAATCCTCACTGATTTGGAAAACTAATGATATAAGGAGAAATCCATATCCTGGTAGAAAGCAAAGGGACCAGCATCAGAGAGTTTCAAAGAATGAGATGTTTCCTTAGAAAATTAGGCATAAAATTACCATATGACCCAGCAATTCAATTCCTAGACACAAAAGAATTGAAAACAAGTGTTCAAAGAAAAACTTAAACACAAGTGTTCATAGCAGCACTAGTCACAAGAGCCAAAAGGTGGAAACAATCCAAATGTCCATCAATTCATGAATGAATAAACAAAAATGTGGCATATTCATACAATGGAATATTATTTGGCCATTAAAAAGGAGGAAAGTACTACAAAGTGGATAAACCTTGAAAACATTATGCTTAGTAAAAGAAGCCAGAAATAAAATGCACATATTGTATAATTCCAGAATAGACAAATCCATACAGATAGAAAGCAGATTAGTGATTACCAGAAGCTGGAGAGAGGGGAATAGGGAGTGATTGCTAACAGGTACAGGGTTTCCTTTTGGAGTGATGAAAAAGTTCTAGAACTAGATAGTGATGATGGGTAAACAACATTGGGAATGTACTTAATGCCACTGAAATGTACACTTTAAAATGGTTAAAATGGTAAGTTTTCTGTGTATTTTACTATCAAAAAACAGACAATTGGGCTGTGTACCTTGAGCCATGCCAGAGATTAAACCTAACTACTGTTGTAACTACTACCCCCACTCTACTATTGTGACCTTCCATCCAGCCATGATCAATGAAGAGTTGGCAAATATTAGAATTCTGGGTTATACATCTTCTCTTTAAGAAAACTCATGGCACAAAGCAGAAAGTCAATATTTACTGTGAAATATTTGTCCTAATTTTAAGTGGATTCATTTAAAGTCCGGTTATCATCAAAATAATGAGAACTTTCTAAATATCTTTCCATTTTTTAATAATAATATGAATGTGTATGTGTATACTGTATGGAAGGTTTCCGGAAGGAAACACAAGAAACTGCAATGGTGGCTTTCTGAGAGAGGGGAGTAGAACTGGAGTCTGGAATAAGGATGGACTCACTTTTTATTACATATCCTATTGTACTATTTTGATTTTTTTAAACAAAAGTGTTGTTTTATTATATTTTTTAATTTACAATTTTAAAAAATCAGGGACCATAAATCAAGTGGTGTGCATTGCCCACTAACTTCTGGTAAAACTTTTATATTTTTAGACAAACACAAGACCCAAAACACTTGAAAACACCCCCCAGAAACCTGACATCCTAGAACTGCGTCCAATATACTTGGGTGGTGGTCCTTTGTCAAGTAACTTAATGGTGTAATTTTTCCAGCCTAGCTCTGGCTTCTGATGGTAGTGTCAGGAGTGAGGAAAAAATGAAAAATGGATCTTCAAAATGGAACAAAAGCACAAGACAATTACTTTTCCCCATACATCCTTTTGTACCTTTTTCACGTGTGTCCTGTATATGTATTTCCTTTGTCTTTTTTTTTTTTTTTTTTTTTTTTTTTTGGCTGCACTGTGCGGTTTGCGGAATCTGAGTTCCCTGACCAGGGATTGAACCTGGGCCACAACAGTAAAAGCACCACTCGTAACCACTGGACCGTCAGGAAACTCCCTGTGTTTCCTATTAAAATGTTTAAAATTGGATGGATGGGTAGATAAATGAAAAGACAAATAGATGAATACAGAGTAAGAAAGAGTGAGAGTTTGCTGTGTCAAGAAGATTTCAAGTAGAATAATTAGCCCTGACATCAACCAAAATCATAAACATAACTGTTTCTTGAAACCTCATCTGGATATTATGGGATGCTATTTGTGAAGCACTGCTGAACAGTAACATACAACCTCTGTTGCTCAGAAACCCAAGAAAAACCCATAAGCCACATATTTGGGCAACTTTAAAACCCAGAATATATTATCCTCCTAATATCCAAGATATTCTTTTCCTGTGCTGCAAAAAAACAGAATAAAAGCAAAGCAAAGAAACCAAACCAAATAAAACATTGATTTTTCTAAAGTCCAAGGCTTAGCGAATAAGCTCAGAAGTTGTGACATTTAAAAACTGTGCCACAAAAAAAAAAAAAACTGTGCCACAAACCATGGCAGGGGCCACTGCCTCTGCTACACACGTGCCCCTTGTTGCAAGGGGCCTCGGGCTTTTCATCTTTAGCACACTGAGGTCTTAAGTATCTCAAAATACTGCGGTTGCCAACTTCTCCCCAGAGCACCACTTTATTTGCTAGTTTAAACAAATCAATGTAGGCAGGCGGAGGCCCATTACGTGTGTGTTTGGCCAAGTTCGCTATGTGGGGTGGAGGGAGGTGGGAAGTGGGGGGTGGCGGGGAAGGGGCAGAAATTACTAGCATCCTAAAGAGCTTAGAGAGATACCACAAGTTCTTACAACTTGTCTCAGGAGCATTAACACTGTCCACACAGGCAGGAGCCAGGAGAAGCACCTCACCATGAAGAAAAGGGTACAAAGGGGTAAAATGCCTTCTTGGACTCTTTTAAATAAATCTGTTCATCATCGTTTTTTAAGAGAATTGGGAAATGTTAATGACATGGTGTTTATAAATAATAGCCAATATGATCACAAATAGCATGATCTCAACTAAATGAAAAGCTGGAAAGATATATTCAAATATAGATATATAAATATATAGATAGATACATATACATAAAATATACAGACTGGAGGGCAATATAGCCTGTACACAGCCTAAAACCTTAAGTATCTTCAAGCCTTCTGCCCTAATCCAACCTGAGAACTCACTTCTTCCCACATTCAACCTATCTCTCCCCAACTGCAAAGGAGCGTCATCCTGAATCCTCTTCCCCAAAAAAAAGACCCCATAAAGCAGTTACTGCCACCATTCAGTGTAACCAGCTCCCACAGTAACAAATGAAGGGCAGAAAACACTGGAAGGAAATGTACCAAAATACAAATGGGGTTATCTTTGCATGGCAGCATTGTGAAGTTGTTTTTTCTTTTCTTTTTTCTTTCTTTTTATTTTCTGGTGTGTTCTAAATTTTCTATGACAAGATTATATACAACTAGAGTTTAAAAATTAGATTGAGTTTTGGTTGCCAAAATATATCAATATAAGGAGGGAGCTTCTCAGTGCCAGTAATATGTGTGTTGGGGTGAGGGGTGGTGTATACAGAGTATACACTTCACAGCCACTTGCTAAACTGTAAATGCAGGTTTTAAGCATTTTGTTCTGTAGGTTTTATATCAAAATAAAAATGTTAATTTTAAAAAGAGGCAATGGCCTTAGCTAGTGTAAAATATAATCTGGTTTTGGTTTGGTTTGTTGTTTTGTTTGCTTAGTTTCTTGGGTTTTTTGCATGTGAGCGGAATAGAGGAGGCTGGCCAGTGGCTTCGTTTGTGGAGGGGGAAAGATATTGAGAAAGTTAGTGAAAAACTGAGAGGAAGAAATTCAAGAATTCAGGACCCAGAGAGCTGAAAACGTTAGATGTATGTATCACAGGTCAGCTAGGTGGTCTGTATACAATGTATCAAATTTTTTTTTTTTTTTTTTTTTTTTGCAGTACACAGGCCTCTCACTGTTGTGGCCTCTCCCGTTGTGGAGCACAGGCTCCGGACGCACAGGGTCAGTGGCCATGGCTCATGGGTCCAGCCGCTCCGCGGCAAGTGGGATCTTCCCGGACCGGGGCACGAACCCCGTGTCCCCTGCATTGGCAGGCGGACTCTCAACCACTGCACCACCAGGGGAGCCCTCAACTCTTGCCTCAGTACTTTTCTCTTGGAATAAAAGTGCCTACAGTCTGCCTTAGATGGGTGGTGAGGGTTAATGACTGACCTATAGTAAATACTTTGAAAGCATTTGTAGCAATTGGTACAGCTTGAGACATTTTTAACGGCTTATGAGAATTTTATTTTGACTGCAACCATTTTCCCACAACCATCCTAAAGCCATATATTTTGGAGCAAGAGGGAGAGCCATTCATACCCTGGATCCCTTGGGGTAAAACCATTTAGCAAGACAACGATGATTTCTCTAAGATTCTTTGAGCTGGAAAGGTGTCTGTTTTCAAGTTATTCCAAGATCCCAAAGGCCACAGTTACTGAAGTCCTCACTTCATAGTCCCTTTTTTTAAACCAACATCACATATCTAGACTTAAATTTCCAGCATATTCACTGACCTGAATGAATTCTTAAAATATTTTTACAAATTAGACTATCAGGAGGAACTTCTAAAATGGAAAAGAAAACTTAATAGCTAGTGAAGTGACAGGGACTTGGTGTGAGGAAAAAAAAATACCAGTTAGAGTTTCATCACTCTTGGATGATAGAAATGTGTCCACCCTGAAGCTATGGTTCATTTGAGGAATTCTCCCAAGGAGATTCCTGTAATATGAACCTGTGTGACGCTGCAAAAGTGCATTGTGATTTGTCCTGCACTTTTAGGGCAAGAGAACAGGCAGATGTGTTTTAGATAAACGTCACCTAAAATTTCACCTATAATCCTAAATTATAACCATTTTATTGTCAGAATGACCTATGTAATATACCTAATCCAAACACCCTAATGGTGATGTTTATCTACAAAAAGATGGTGATCTCATAGGTGATGAACAATACTAGGTATGGCAATTGTTATTAATTTCTCTAGAGTAGTGAGTGTGAAAGGATGGACAAATGAAATGCACACAGACAAAAAAACAACAACTAAAATGTTATAGAGAGAGGTGAGGTTTTCACATGCAGAAGTCACTGTGAGGATTAGAACAGAAAGGAAGTTTCAGAAAATCTATCGAATGAGGTACAAAACACATGAAATTTGGTATAGGGGTTTCAAAGTTCACTGGGGAATAGAACAAAAGTAAGTCAGAAACGACAAGGTTGAGCCCAAAGAAGACTGTGCAAGGAAAAATATCACTGCTGATTGAAAGTAGGATATGCATCTCATCATTTTTGTACCACTAACAAAAATAAATCCTGAACCAAATGCTAGCCCAGCATAATATTTCAACTTTGCTGACAAGACTAATGATGCAGCCAGTAAGATCTGATATGTAATTATTGTAAGACCTCAAAGAGTTCATAGTTAAGCTAAATTCTAAGCAGAAATGATGTGTTTGGAGACAGGACATTAGTAGTTAATGGAAAGACGTCTGCAATATAAATTAGAGCAGGGGCTTAGAGAACAGTTTTTGAAAAATCCACAGCTAACTTGATATTAGCAGTTAAAGTTAAGTAATAGAGTTCAGTGGATCATCAAGAAAAATGAACTATAAATCAAAAGGCATTAAAATAACAAGGGTCACTAATTCAGTAGCAGTTACAGTGTGTAGCACTCAAGAGACTAGAAATATAGTTATGTAGAGGTGGCAGAACAATGTTTATTTAGTCAGGGTTAACTAGGAATTTTGGATATACACAATGTAAAAGAAAAAAATCTTATTTTTGTGTATGTGAAGCTGTCACTATTTTTTTTAGAGATTCTCTCTAGTTATTTTGTGTATATATTCAACAATCTTATGGTTAGTCCTTCATAAATACTTAACCCACCTTAAACCATTTGAATATACACTGCATTCCAAAATGAGACTAAGAAAACAGTTTACATGTTATGTAGAGTGGCTTTAACTACATACTTTGAGAGTTTTTCATTGTTCTTCCCCATTACTTCAAAGACCCTCCCTCATTGTTGCAGGTTTTTTATCAGTGACAAAACAATTTGCTCAAGTCTCCTTAAAATAAAAACTATCCAGAAGGAATCTAAATGTAACCTTGAAGAGCTGTAATTCAAGAGATGTGAATCACTTTATACACTAATTCTAAAATAAAACCTGGGTTTCCCTGGTGGCACAGAGGTTGAGAGTCCGCCTTCTGATACAAAGGACGCGGGTTCATGCCCCAGTCCGGGAAGATCCCACATGCCGTCGAGCGGCTGGGCCTGTGCGCCGTGGTCGCTGAGCTTGCACGTTCGGAGCCTGTGCTCCGCAGCGGGAGAGGCCACGGCAGTTAGAGGCCCGCCTACCACACACACACACAAAAGAATGTAAAAACCTTTAAAATTACATTTTCTCTACAATCTACAAAGGTCCATGGAAGAACAAAATAAATACATAACACAGTAATTACAGAGATTATTTTGTATTTAGATTTTTTAATGCCATGAAGGAAAATAACACAATGGTTTAAAAAGTCTCTGCATCTATCTAAAAATTCTTTCACCAGAATTAATAATGGGAATAATTTACAAATAATTTACAACTTTCTTTGATTAATTAGGTCCCTTTTTTTTTTTTTTTTTCGGTACACGGGCCTCTCACTGTCCTGGCCTCTCCCGTTGCAGAGCACAGGCTCCGGACGTGCAGGCTCAGCGGCCATGGCTCATGGGCCCAGCCACTCCACAGCATGTAGGATCTTCCCGAACCGGGGCACAAACCCGTGTCCCCTGCATCCGCAGGCGGACTCCCAACCACCGCACCACCAGGGAAGCCCAGGTCCTGTTTTTTATTGAATTTATTAAGCCTTGAGAAGAGAACAGGCTCATCTGAACTAAAAAGATGGAGAATATGAATTTGCAATGGTTCAA